TACACAAGGACATCTTCCAGTAGTATACAGGAACATCTGGAATAGTATACAAGAACATTTGTACCGAATATCGACTGGAGGTCCTACAGTAAAAGTGGGTTCTCCACCAAGGCTGGTGGAGAACGTCAGGGCTAAGATACTGTAGGACCTCCAGATCCAGACTGTATTTAATCTTTTCTATTTGACTATTTATTTGATTGTTTTCTCCTGTTTGTTGTAACTGACCGGTGAAGGATGTTGGTCAGTCTTATTTTTAAACGTGCTACAGAAGTCACACTGGCTGTGACAAACGCCCTTCCCATAACTTGATTGGTTCTCCAGAAAAGCTCAGAGATACTGAGTGTTGTCTCCTGTCTGTCCTCTGATGGCAGCGTCTCCACCAGTCCTGAGTCCAGCTGCTCCACAGTGCTTGTCTTGGATCATCATGCCAACCCATGTGGACATCATCTTCACCCCGTGCTGCTCAACATGCTGTGCACGCTTCTAACGGCTCCTCCTTGTTGTTAACATCTTGCTCTGCTGGAGGTTCCTGTAGGTTTTTATTCCTACAGATGTGCAGCGTGACCTACGTTAAACAACCGTAGCACTTTTTCTGCTTAAACCTTGACATGTTGCTGCGTGTTGAGCTCTACATGTGCAGCAGGGCTGATCTTTGCACACTGTTCTGCTGGCGTCACTGAGTTTAAGTCCTCTAGTTCTTCTTGGACAATCCCCCTTGTTCACACAACCATTTTTTTTTTACAGAAAACTAAAGTATGACATGTTAGTCTCACATGCAGATTAGAAGATACTCAGTTTAAACTGGAGTATAAAACGTGTCTGTTTCTGGTCGTATCGGACAGAAAAAAAAAGTCACAATAAAACATTAATAAAACATTTCTCTGCCAGGAGTTTCCTCTTGTGTATATGAAGGAGACGAGGACAGTTTAAACTGTTATTGTTACATAAAATGTATTTTCCTGTATTCTCATTTCTAACAGTCTGAAGTCACAAACTGGGTCACTCAGAACTTTATTCAGGGCCGATGAACTCACCTAGAGTAGGCGGGTCTTTTAAGTGCTTCAACAGTCCCCGCCATCAGAATCTCACCACAAACAATTGGGCCCACAATAATTCTCAGTACAGTACTCCGTGGGCCCAGTCCTTGACTGTCGAGTCTTTTCACGTTTATAATCGGTGGTTGCAGCAGTCACTTCTGTTTCCTGTGGTGACCGAGTGTTAAAGTCTCTGTCGGTTCTGTTAGGAAAAGTTCTGGAACAGAATTCAATCAGCAGGAGACCAGACTGCACGTGAGGAAGGGTACTTTTTATTCAAGCGCACACATCAAGTATACCCGAACGATGTGACCAGATGTGTCTGAGGTTTAGCTCCGCCCACATCAACATTGGTGTAAAGTCTGAGGTTTAGCTCCGCCCACATCAAAACTGGTGTAAAATCAGGTTTAGCTCCGTCCACATCAAAATTGGTGTAGTCTAAGGTCTAGCTCCGCCCACATCAAAACTGGTGGTCTAAGGTCTAGCTCTGCCCACATCAAAACTGGTGTAGTCTGAGATCTAGCTCTGCCCACATCAAAACTGGTGTAAAATCTGAGGTTTAACTCCACCCATA